TGTGGGTGGCGTCGGGCCCCGCTCCCGGTGCGGGAGGCGCTGCACTGAGGAGGGTCGCGCTCGGCGTCCCGGTCGCCTTTTACTGAGGGAAAAGGGTGGCCAAAATTCAAGCCGTGGCGGTGAACATGCGCCCCCGGATCCCCTCACCCCCGCGCTGCCTCCCCCGGGCCTGGGCTTTGAGGACGCTATGGGCAGCAAGGCCTCTGCCGGCTCCAGCCTCTCCAGAGCGGGTAGCACCGACAGCTGGACAAAATACCGCCTCCAAACCGCATCGCTTTGCACCTCTCGCGTAGCTTTCTGTTAATACTCCTCGTGGTTACCACACAGCTACAACCACCACACCTCTCTCAGTTCCCTTGGATGTCTTAAATTCCTCTTTCCCCAGCCTAATTACCAGGTCTCAAAGCACAACCATCAAGAACTACTAATCTCAATGCTCATAATCATCTATTTCTGGAGGATGATGCAAATCTCCTGGTATCACTTTCACACCGCTAAGTTGCTACACTCCTCCTCAGGAGTCTTACGTTTGCTTACAAAGGTATCGACAAGTGGTAATGCCTCCTGATTATTATTACATCCTTTTACCAAAAGTGTAGGTAAAGTGGTCTAGAGTGTTGGTTTTTTTTAATAAAAATGAGCTCTCATTAAGATAGGAGAGTCTTGTGTATTCAAAAGATGAAAATGTTTTAAAGCTGCTTGAACAAAAACATTTTACAGGGCTGAGGTTACAGCAGGAGCAGCAACTGGAAAGCAAGACCGTATCATAAGGGGCCACTGAGCTACATAAAATAAAGATTGACCATGCCACCTTGCTTTTATCTTTGTTCTTTACTTATAATTATTCTGATCCAGTTAAAGGTACTGTGGTTAATTAGAAAGGCATGTCTGGTTATTTGGCTTGCAGGAGACTCAATGCCACTGAAGCACAGAAATAAATGTTCTTTGCAGCGAGGCAACGTGCCTCAGCTGAGGTAGCCCAAGCAGTTGTCATAAACCAGCTTGGCCTTCCAGCATGGCAGCAACATTAAGTTTCCAGTAAGAGCTGAAATAATGTCGTATTTCTCTCCCTTTTGCAACATCGGTGAAACTCTATTGCTTATCATCACAAGCAGTGCCTTGACTTAACACAGCAGTCTTGCTCTTTGTCCCAGCTGTTTTTTCCTGCAAAATTCTCCTTCTTCCAGGTGTGGTGGTAAAATTATTAGTATTTAGGATTTCAGAGGGCTGGCTAAGAAGTTTATCCTAACTAAAAGAACATTCCTTTCAACTAAAAGCTAACAGTCTGATTGTTGCCGACTCTCCACTTCTAAGCTCATATGAGGTGTGCCGCTGCCATAGGCTCCACCAAGAGCCATCCCTCCATTCTGTCACCATATTTACTGTCTGATTCCTTCTTAGAATTGTGGCAGTTAGCAAGCTATTTAAGGAGCCCATCCCTCCCAGGATGGACACCTGGCTTTGTTAACATCAAAATAATTGTTTTTCCTCACCACCTTCTTTTCTGAAACAGTATATTGGTTGGGTCTCTGCGATCACTTGGCAGAGAACAGAAGAGCAGAGAGAGAGATGCTGCCCTAAAGTTCTCTCAATACAATCTTGGTTAATAACGCCTCTGCCTGACCTGTCCGAAATTGTACTTGTGTTATTATGCACCTGGAGTCCCCAGATCTCCAATACAGGTTAATATTCACAGGATCTGTTTATCAAAAAGGTCCTCACTAGTAAAATCATAATACGCACTTAATGTTTATAAAACACACAGCCTTAATTAGAAATCTTTTAATTTACACTAAACAAGAATAGAAAATTATTGAAGGTGTAAAAATCCACTGTCCTTATCACACAATAAAAAAAAAAACAAACCAAAAAAACCCACCACAGAAATTGATGCTGCCCATGACTAAACCTTCCAAGACTCAAGAACAAGTTTCTCCATCTCTTTTAGAATTTCACACACAAAAAAAAAAAAAAAGTCACATCTACATTTCTGCTAAAAAACAGAAACATGTTGAAAATTCCCAAATCAGGGAGAGGGATTTGGAAGAAACAAATACTTGAGCCACCGGGAAAAGGCTTTTCGGGTTCTTTGGCTCTCACCATACAGGCGTCCTTACCAACACACGTGTGGAACAAACGAGAAGGACTACGCTGCTCTCCAGCCTGAATGCACCTGTGGATGACACAGCACTGGAGTACCCTGTATCCACAGCTCCCCTCCCTCAGCCGGGAGCTGGATTGGTCCAGAGGACTGAGAAACAGTCACAGTTCCCATTTTTTTCTGTTCAGATAAAGGGGTTGAGGGTTAACCTTAATACTGGAAGCTGCGTTTAGTCTGAATGTCATCAAGAATCTGCTGTAATTCCTCATCTTCAAATCGGCCTTCCAGGCTGCAAGATAAGAACAAGGAGGGGACATTAAAGGTTTTAGAAATAATCTCCCCCCAGACTCATTTCAGACAGCCATAATTCTCTCCCACCAGTCTCAACACCATCATCACCCACCTGTAGCATTACTGTACAACTATCACTCTAATCCCTTTAAATCACATCCTCTTTAAATGACAAAACTCCATCCTTCCCAGAACTATCTGCTGAATAATTTCAAATCATTTTATCACAAAGGCAAGGCAGGCGCAGGTTTCAATAGACCTCTAAATGAAGTCCATATAACTTCATGCTTATAAGCCAGTCCAGTCTTGCTATGAAATCTTAGTATACAAGGAAGAAACTGTAATCAGATGAGTGTTTCGTTCTTTCTTCTATCTCAGACCATGAGGTAACATATCAAGATACGAAATAGTTACTGCTCCCCTGTACATTATCCACAGTTCACAGGAGAAATATCATTTGCTCCAACAGAAAAAAAACACAAAACCACAAACCAAAAAACCCCCCAACAAACAACCAAACAGCTGGGTGGGCTAAGACCCCACTGTTTACACTTAATCCAGTAAATATCAGAAGTGTCACTGGGGACATATACGAAGATTGCCTCTCTGTCAGATCAATGGGTAGGTGAAGAAAAACCAAGACTAAAAGTTTTTCTATCAACAGAGCTGAATTGAAGAGAGGGCGCATCTGCCCATAGCTGGCTTCAGACCACAGGAAAGTAAAAAGTAGTCGGTTTACGATACATAAATGCTTACCTAGGAATCAAGGCCTTCGCTTCCTCAGCTGTTTCAGGACACAAGTTAGCCAAACATGCCAGTTCAAATTTATGGAGCTTCTTCTGGAGCAGCAAACTGTAAGGAAAGACAACAACTGGGTGAAATGACAAGCAAGTTAGAAACATAAAAGGGCATAAACCAAACCAAGTATCTTTTTTTTTTTCCCACTCTGCTTTTGGCTCTGAAGTCAATGTTTTTTTCAGGAGGAAATACTAGTTATATAACTGCACAGAGCAAAAAAAAGTCACATCTGTTAACTCCACTTCCCCAGAGTTAGTCTACAAAGTCTAGAAAATCCTTGCATTTACTGCAATCAGCTGTCATTTAAATACTGAAAACAAAGCGGCTCAGAAGGCTTGGCCTAGACAAAGTACAACTCTCCATGAAGAATTATGATCAAATTTCTTGCCTCTTCAGAAAGACAAGATTCAGAATTATAGTACAAATCAGGAAACACCACAAAACTGTACTTTCATAAAGCAACATCAATATTATGCACAAAACTCTCCAGTATAGTCTTATGCCCTGACTTTTCCACTCACCTACGGACACTGGCAATGGTTTCACGGTTTTTGAAGCGGCTGAAGCGTGCTGTGTAGTTCAAGGTTTTCATGAAGACTTCTGAAAGCTCCTGCTCATCTTCTGCGCTTTCATTCTGTTGCTTACGATGCTCAAGAAGCATATGTACTTCTGAATTTAGAAGGGTTTCCGCAGTTTCAAATTCTACATTTGAATGAGTGAAAATCAGCACAAAAAAGGTAAAGCATGGATGAAAAAGTCCACTTACAGAAGTTTTCTATGTAAATTTAGCTTTGGGAAATAAGGACATGAAAAACGTGCTTCACTGTAACTGTGCAAGCCCTTTCACCAATGACTGGACAACATTTCATACTGAAAATGCTGATAAAAATGACACCATTTTGAGCAATAATCCAATGTCTTTCTTTTCTTGACTACACATTTTATATTTGCTGCCCTAACCTTCTGATTTGTCACATTTTTGCATACGTTTTCTTCACCCATTTTTGACAGAACTTGAATAATGTATGACTTGTTTTAGAAAAAAATTTTTAGAACTGTAATGTTCAAAAATTCAAAAGTGACGCCTATGGTCTTTGAAAGCCTCCGAGTTCTTAAAGTACACATAGATGCTGCTGAACAATTTTTGAAAGGCTTTGTTTACTTGAAAGGTGAATTAGGCCACTGAAATTTTATTATCATTAAAAAGTTTTAACCAATCTTAACAGATCCCCCCCCACCTTTTTAGGCAACTCTCTTTATTTTTGTTCATCATCACCATATTTTTTCCAATAACAAGAAGGTCTTTCAACATCAGCAGTACGAGCTGTTCAAAGCAGCAGGATCAGAGGTGGCATCCTGGAGTGTCCTTCAGCACTGTTTTATAAAACCAGACAGATACAGGGCAGTGCAAGAAAGGGACTGGCAACCTTTATTTTACATGGAGTGGTAAAGTAATTTGGGCTGAACACGGGTAGGCTATAGATTTTAGTGTAAAAACATCCAAAACCTTGTCATTCAGGACTACATTTTTTGTTAAAAAAGGCAGCAATATCCCCCCCTTTCTTTTTTTTTTTCCTCCCTCCTCTTCCAGGGCAGCTTTGAGGAATCAACACAGCTCTGGAATTTATCCTGAATAGTTTTCTGAAAAAAGTACACAGAGTATCAGCATCCCTAGTTACAACTCAGGCTCTAGAAAGCTGGTTTAGTAAACACAGCACTATCTTAACGTCAAGAAACATTAACGAAAAAGTAATGGTTATATAAAAAAAAAACAACAAAAAACAAACAAACAAAAAAAACAAGAACCTTTTTGCTATAACCTGTTGTGATTTTTTTTTTTTTTTATTTTATTTTATTCCGGTGCACACGTAGTGCTCCACACAAGTAAGAACAGACACATCTTAGCGATCATGGGGTCCTTAAATATATACAAATGATTTATTATCCCCGATTTTTAACACCTGGGGCCCTGTAACCGCT